TTCATAGCAATAGTCAGTTTACACTTAAAGAGTGGCTCTAAAATAATGGAAAGTTGGGGGTCACCCCAACAAGAGGAACTATGTCAAATGGTTGCAGTACCAGGAAGGTTGAGCACCACTGGTCTACACCATGTGTGGGAAGATTTCCATCCTGTGCTTGCTGTCATTGAAAGGATACTTGAGTGACACCATGGATAATCACTTTAATCAGGGATCCGCAGGATTAACTCTGAGCGTCAGGGACAACCTTCGTTCTGTTCCCTGGTGGGGGTTCCTGGTTTGCTTTTCTTGATTCAGTATCTCATGGATCATGGGCTATCATTCAACCCACGTTCTAGCTAAGGACGAGCATGATCTTCTGCCCCTCCTCACTGGATCTCCCTGTTGCTGGGATGATCCACACACTCCTTTGACTCATATGATGTAGGATTTCCCTCTGTGTGGATTAATAAAGAAACTGGCTTGGCCTGATAGGGCAGAGTAGAGCTAGGCAGAGAAAACTAAACTGAATGCCGGGAGAAAGAAAGTGAAGTTTAGGGAGAAGCTATGTAGTCCTGCCAGAGACAGATGCCAGAACTTTATCTGGTAAGTCACAGCCTTGTGGCGATATACAGATTAATAGAAATGGGTTAAATTAATATGTAAGCGTTAGCCAATAAGAAGCTAGAGCCAATGGGCCAAGCGATGATTTAAATAATACAGTTTCTGTGTGGTTATTTCAGGGCTGAGCAGCCAGGAACAAACAATTGGTCTCCTTACAACACTCATATACAACTGCTGAGCTGGAGTACATAGGAGATTTTAACATGGATTTTTGGCACCAGGACAAGAGAAAGTCGCCTGGCAATCCTGTTGGATAGGTGCTTCTTTTTCTTTTCTTATTCCTTTGGAGACAGGGTTGTCATGTACACTGGGGCTGACCCACAACTCCCCCAATAACACAGGATGACCTTGAGTCCTGATACGCCTGCCCTCAGTGATCTCACACGTCTGCCTGTCTACAGGTCCAGCAGCTATGCAAAGTCCCATTTAAAGGAGCTAAGATGTGAGCTATGCATTAGGAGATCCTTTCTATATAACCAATGACCCATAAAATCCCTGTCTTTTCTGATGCCGATTCCTGGAGCTTCCTAGCAAGCCTTAATAATTTTGATTACTGAACGTATTATTCATTTTGTGTTATTCAGAGTCCTCTCGAGCAACAGAAGTACAGAATGAACAAGAGAGATTGTCTGTGTGTGTTATGTTTTTACATATATAGGTATATAAGATTTCTAGAACGTCATACGGGCCATAGTCCAGCTAATCCAACAATCTCTGCTGGTGAATGAGTGTTCCAAAATTCTATTAGTTATTTATTCCCTGAGGCTGAATATTTCACCTGTCTATTGGTATGCACTGGAATCCTAAACTTGTAGGCTCTCACGTCAGTGATGGAATGGAATGGACTTGCCGCTGAGGTGAGAAGAGGCAAAGAGCAAACACCTCCTTCCTCCATGTGCTTGTGTGTAGGTTTCCAGTGCAAGGGTTTGCCCACATTAGGTCTTGGCCAAGAGTGTGTCTTCCCGGCTGGAATTCTGGTGAAAGATATGTGTGTTCCTCCCTCAAAGATCTGGATTAGAATTAGGTCTTCACACTGCAGATTGAGCAGTATTCCCTCATAGGCGTGTCCTCCATTTGGGTGTTTTTTACTAATTTTTTACTAATTCCAAATGTTGTCAATATGGCTGCCAATAATAGCTGTCACGTGACCTAGCAAGACTCTATTTCTTTCTTTCTTTTTTTTTTAAATAAGTTGAAGAAATTGTCCTGAGTGAAGCAGGAACTAGAGTGAAACAGAAGGTGTACAGGAAAAGTCGGGGTCTCCTTTGAGTGTTTCTGAGTCTCACTGATGAACCCTAACAAGGGAGTCAACGCTCTAGATCAATTGCCCAGAGACGGTTATGGGAAGGAGAGCGGGGAAGCCATGCTTTATAAATTGGCCAGTTCAGACACCTGCCAACAAGCAACTACATGAGGGGATCGCAAAGGAATGACTCTAGAGAATGAATAAGGAAGCTTAAGATGGGGGGAGGCAGAAAGTGTTAGGGAGAGCACACTCAGAAAGAGACAAGCAGGCAGACATCTGTGTCATATGGATTGCCTTAGCCTATAAACTAAGAATGGGGATTCTGGGAAGGAAAAAGTATCTCGTTAAAGGACTAATAATTCTTTTTTTTAAAGATTTATTTATTATGTATACAATATTCTGTCTGCATGTATGCCTGCAGGCCAGAAGAGGGCACCAGACCTCATCATAGATGGTTGTGAGCCACCATGTGGTTGCTGGGAATTGAACTCACTACCTTTGGAAGAGCAGGCAATGTTCTTAACCACTGAGCCATCTCTCCAGCTCCAAGACTAATAATTCTTACTATCTCTTTATCTAGACTTCAGGTGAGCCAGCCTTCTTTGGGGAGTTCCCTTGGACAGGTGAATGCAGCGTTCAATTGGAATGCTAGGTCTCCACCCAGGCCAGAGATTCAATTTTCTTGACCAGGAATTGAATTCTACTCTAACAGTATGAGAAACAAATTTTGGGTCAGAAAGTCTCATGTTATATTAACAAACTAGCAGGTTGGTGGTAGCGCATGTCTTTAACCTCAGCACTCAGGAGGCAGAGGGAGGTGAATCTCTGTGTGTTTGAGGCTAACCTGGACTACTGAACGAGTTCCAGGACAGCCAAAGCTACAGAGAGAAACCCTGCCATGAAAAAACAAAATAAGTCAGGTGGTAGTGGCACATGCCTTTAATCCCCGCACTCAGAGACAGGTGGATCTCTGTGCGTTCAAGGCCAGCCTGGTCTAGAGAGCAAGTTATAGGACAGACTCCAAAGCTACAGAGAAACCCTGTCTTGAAAAACAAACAAACAAAAAACAAGAAAAAAAACCATGCTAGAAGGGAAAGAGGCAAGTGGGAGCAGGGACAGTATGTGAAAAGACCAATCTTGTCAAGTCTAACGAGAATCCTATCCATGGATTCAAACCCTGTGATTTCCAAGTTGCCCCTCATGGTGCCTCAAGACTCCTTATAGAGGACATATAGACACAAAGGCGTGAAGGAGCTACAAAGGGGATTTCTCCCTTAGCACTCTCAGGTCAGGTCAACTCTGCTTACAGTTTGTGGGGTTTTTGTTGTTGCTGTTGTTGCTACTGGTTTTTTGTTTGTTTGTTTGTTTGTTTTGTGTTGTGTTGTTTGGTTAGGTTTGGTTTTTTGAGAAAGGATTTCTCTGTGTAGCCCTGGCTACCTTGG